TCTGCAGACTAAACAATCCCAGTTCCCTCAGCCTCTCCTCATAACTCATGTGTTCCAGACCCCTAATCATTTTTGTTGCCCTTCGCTGGACTCTCTCCAATTTATCCACATCCTTCTTGTAGTGTGGGGCCCAAAACTGGACATAGTACTCCAGATGAGTACTAGGCTGGCTAACCTAGTGAGGAGGGCTTTAAACTAGGTTCACCGGGGGAAGGAGACCAAAGCCCTGAGGTAAGTGGGAAAGCGGGATACCGGGAGGAAGCACAGGCAGGAATGTCTGTGAGGGGAGGGCTCCTGCCTCATACTGAGAATGAGGGGCGATCAGCAGGTTATCTCAAGTGCTTATATACAAATGCACAAAGCCTTGGAAACAAGCAGGGAGAACTGGAGGTCCTGGTGACGTCAAGGAATTATGACGTGATTGGAATAACAGAGACTTGGTGGGATAACTCACATGACTGGAGTACTGTCATGGATGGTTATAAACTGTTCAGGAAGGACAGGCAGGGCAGAAGAGGTGGGGGAGTAGCACTGTATGTAAGGGAGCAGTATGACTGCTCAGAGCTCCGGTATGAAACTGCAGAAAAACCTGAGTGTCTCTGGATTAAGTTTAGAAGTGTGAGCAACAGGAGTGATGTAGTGGTGGGAGTCTGCTATAGACCACCGGACCAGGGGGATGAGCTGGATGAGGCTTTCTTCCGGCAGCTCGCGGAAGCTACTAGATCGCATGCCCTGGTTCTCATGGGTGACTTTAATTTTCCTGATATCTGCTGGGAGAGCAATACAGCGGTGCATAGACAATCCAGGAAGTTTTTGGAAAGCGTAGGGGACAATTGGCTAGATTGTCGGGCTCAACGGGTAGTGATCAATGGCTCCATATCTAGTTGGCAGCCGGTGTCAAGTGGAGTGCCCCAGGGGTCGGTCCTGGGGCCGGTTTTGTTCAATATCTTCATAAATGATCTGGAGGATGGTGTGGATTGCACTCTCAGCAAATTTGCAGATGATACTAAACTGGGAGGAGTGGTAGATACGCTGGAGGCCAGGGATAGGATACAGAGGGCCCTAGACAAATTGGAGGATTGGGCCAAAAGAAATCTGATGAGGTTCAATAAGGATAAGTGCAGGGTCCTGCACTTAGGACAGAAGAACCCAATGCACTGCTACAGACTAGGGACCGAATGGCTAGGCAGCAGTTCTGCAGAAAAGGACCTAGGGGTGACAGTGGACGAGAAGCTGGATATGAGTCAGCAGTGTGCCCTTGTTGCCAAGAAGGCCAATGGCATTTTGGGATGTATAAGTAGGGGCATAGCGAGCAGATCGAGGGACGTGATCGTCCCCCTCTATCTGACATTGGTGAGGCCTCATCTGGAGTACTGGGTCCAGTTTTGGGCCCCACAGTACAAGAAGGATGTGGATAAATTGGAGAGAGTCCAGTGAAGGGCAACAAAAATGATTAGGGGTCTAGAACACATGACTTATGAGGAGAGGCTGAGGGAACTGGGATTGTTTAGTCTGTGGAAGAGAAGAATGAGGGGGGATTTGATAGCTGCTTTCAACTACCTGAAAGGTGGTTCCAGAGAGGATGGTTCTAGACTATTCTCAGTGGTGGAAGAGGACAGGACAAGGAGTAATGGTCTCAAGTTGCAGTGGGGGAGGTTTAGGTTGGATATTAGGAAAAACTTTTTCACTAGGAGGGTGGTGAAACACTGGAATGCGTTGCCTAGGGAGGTGGTGGAATCTCCTTCCTTAGAAGTTTTTAAGGTCAGGCTTGACAAAGCCCTGGCTGGGATGATTTAATTGGGGATGGGTCCTGCTTTTGAGCAGGGGGTTGGACTAGATGACTTCCTGACGTCCCTTCCAACCCTGATATTCTATGATTCTATGAGGCCTCACCAATGTCGAATAGAGGGGGATGATCACGTCCCTCAATCTGCTCGCTATGCCCCTACTTATACATCCCAAAATGCCATTGGCTTTCTTGGCAACAAGGGCACACTGCTGACTCATATCCAGCTTCTCGTCCACTGTCACCCCTAGGTCCTTTTCCACAGAACTGCTGCCTAGCCATTTGGTCCCTAGTCTGTAGCTGTGCATAAAACTAGCTTGGCTAGTTTTATGTTGTTGGCCAAGTCTTCCCCCAGCAGCATGGGAATGGGATAATCATCATAGACTGCAAAAGTCCACATTCCTGACCAGCCCTTGTACTGAACAGGCAACTTGGCTGTAGGCAAGTCAAAAGTGTTTGACTTGAAGGGTTGAATCGTCCCTTGGGCCTCTAGGTTGATGAATTTGGGGTCCACTAGGGATTGATGGATAGCTGACACCTGTGTTCCAGTGTCATAGACTCATAGAATCATAGAATATCAGGGTTGGAAGGGACCCCTGAAGGTCATCTAGTCCAACCCCCTACTCGAAGCAGGACCAATTCCCAGTTAAATCATCCCAGCCAGGGCTTTGTCAAGCCTGACCTTAAAAACCTCTAATGAAGGAGATTCCTTCCATGCGATAACCTTCTTCCCACCCACACTCAGTTTCCCTTCGTTCTGAGGGTATCTGGGAGGCATCTGGGCCTGAGGACCTTTGGTGTGACCCCAGTGCAATGAACTGCAATCTGTTGGGGTTCTTGGGGCAGTTGGCCTTTACATGCCCCAGCTTGTTACATTTAAAACATCGCCCAGCTGACTGGTCAATGGGGCGAGGTGGGTTGCTGGAGAATGGTGTGGTGGGACAATAAGGTGTCTGGGGTTTTCCTTGGGGTGTAGTTGGGGCCTTGGGCTGCCCCTGGTGGTAGGATGTGGTCTCGGGGTGTCCCTTCTGGTATCCGCCCAAACTGCGACCAGGGTTGTTCCTCTCTGCTACCTCCATCTGTTTTGTTCTGATTTGCCCTGCCTTTCTGACAGTCTGGGACTGTTCGTATTGATCAGCATAAGAAGCAAGACTTTCTGCTGAGTCCATTTTCTTGTCCCATAAACACTGTTTTACATCATCATTGGTCATAGTCAGGAACTGCTCCTGGACAACCAAATCACACATTCCTTTAAAGCTAGTTACACCCCTTCCTTTGATCCATTTATCTAACAGATCCTTTATCTGGTTTACATAAGCCACATTACTTAGTCCAGCCTCTCTCTTAAGGGCTCTAAATTTCACTCTGTAAGTTTCAGGTGTAATTTGAAATTGCTTCAAAACCAAATCCTTGAATTTACCATAGACAGAAGCATCCTCAATAGGCATTTTGTTGAATATGTTCAGAGCTCTTCCAGTCAATTTTGCTACCAATGTGGTCATCTTGTGATCTTCAGGAATTGCATGGAGAGTGCACAGTCTTTCAAAGGTGATGAAATATTCAGCAGTATCACTGGATTAATCATACTGTGGACATAGTCGCTCCCGTTTGTGGATTTTTGGGGAGGTGGAGCCAACTGCTGAAGGGTTTTGTCCTTTTAACTTTATCACCTCCAGTTCATGCTTCCTCTCTCTTTCCCTCTCCTCCTGAGCATGCTGCCTCTCTTTTTCCTTCTTCTCCCTAGCAGCTTTTTCTCTGGCCACTTGTGCATCAATCTCCATCTGTTTTAATTCCAGTTGTCTTTCATGTTCCTTCTTTCTTTCTTCAGCTTCCAATCTTGCTAAATCTAGTTTCTTTTGGACATCACTTTCTGTCATCCTAACCTCCCTGCACTTAGCCTGCCTAACCCGAGAGCTAGAAAGAAAAAAAACCCTAGCTTGTGAATTCCCTTGCTGTAGCTTAAATACTCTGCCCTGAGGCAGAGAAGAAAGAGGAAAAAAAACCCAAAACCTCCAGCTGCTCTCAGCTTAAAAAAAAGTGTCCTTTTAAAACAACAACATCAAACCTCCCTGACTTCAAGCAAGTAAAAGAAAAAATACTTTATTTTTAAAATCCTGAGGTCTGTGCTTCTGGTTCAGAATGATCCCACCGTGCTGATACCATGTCAGGGTTCCCTCCCCACTCTGAACTCTAGGGTACAGATGTGGGTACCCGCATGAAAGACCCCCTAAGCTTATTTCTACCAGCTTAAGTTAAAAACTTCCCAAGGCACAAATCCTTCCTTGTCCTTGGATGAGTACTGCTGCCACCACCAAATGAGTTAGACAAAGATTCAGGAAAAGGACCACTTGGAGTTCCTGTTTTCCCAAAATATTCCCCCAAGTCCCTTCACCCCCTTTCCTGGGGAGGCTTAAGAATAATCTACCAACCAAATAGGTAAACAAGGTGAGCACAGACCAGACTCTTGGGTTTTTAGGACACTAAAAAACAATTAGATTCCTAAAAAACAGAACTTTATTATAAAGAAAAAAAGCACCTCTGTAAAATTAGGGTGGAAGGTAATTTTACAGGATAATAAGACTTAAAACACAGAGGATTCCCCCCCTAGGAACAACTTTAAAGTTACAAAAAACAGGGATAAACCTCCCTCTTAGCATAGGGAAAATTCACAAGCTAAAACAAAAGATAATGTAACGCATTCCTTGCTATTACTTACTATTTTTGTAATATTAGATGTATCATTTCAGTAGGAGCTGGATTACTTGCTTGATCTCTCTCTCTGTCTTGGAGAGAACACACACAGAGCACAAAAACAAAGCCTCTTCCCCCCCCCCCTTTTTTATATTACTGCATACGTAAAGGTTGTTACCCTTCCCTTTTATATTTATGACACCCCCATTCACCCAACCCTGGCTGGGGCTGTCATCTCTGATGTCATACACAACTCTGAGTTTGCCCATCCCCCAGCCAAGCCATGTAGATTTGGAGCAGACAGGAGCCAGCCTTGCTTCCCAGCCATTCTGGCTGTCGTAGTCCTCTTCTCAGTGTTACTTACCACTCCCCCTGGTTCCCTGGCCTGCTCAGGATCAGTGTACAAGGCTCTGCAAATGCCGCTTGCTGAGCCTTATGAGAACCACTCCAGCACCATTCCTGAGCTGCGCTGAAATGGAATCTGGTCTCTGTCCCTGCTCTGACTGGCATGCTCTCCCCACAGCGGTTCACGGGGCACTCCCAGGCCAGGTGCCTGGAGGGCCTGCTGCAGACCATATATGACGCTGAGGTGCTCTCAGATGACATTCGCAATACAGAGATCTCCAAACATATTGCAATAGCAACGGAGAAGAAGAAGGTAACAAGGCCCATGCCCTGTCTCTCCTCAGCACCCCACCTCATGGTGTCATGCACGGTGGGGCCCCAGCCCACTGGCTCCAGTCTGCTCAGATGTGCGTCTCGATGGGTCTGGTGCAAACTCTGGCACCTGTAACACCAGCACAGGGACATGCAGCAACAGCTTTCGAAGGCAGGAGACAGAATTTCAGGTGGTTGGTGTGGGGCGAAGATTGGGAGCCACCTTCCAAAAACCATCATGAGTGCTGGGGCTTCCCCTTGCAGAGGGGTGAGGCTCTCGGGAGACACCAGCAGGCAGGTTTCCCCCTGGAAGGGGGGAGGCCACCCCAGATGCATTAAGTAGACAAGTGGGGTGCTGATGCCCCCAAATCCCTAGCAGGTGGTGTTCCCCTTAGCACCTGCACACCAGGGCCTGTGCAACTGGCTGAGCTGGTGGGGAAATGAGCTGGTGAGCACTCCCCCTGCCTGATTCTGACACTGTCTCCTCTTATCTCCCAGGTTGTCCCCACAGCCCTTCTGTGCCTGCTGCGGAACTGCTCAGTGCAGGAGGCTCAGCTGCGGCTTGACACCTCCCCATCCATCCGAGCAGCCATTGAGTCCTCACTGAATGCTCCGGGGCGCAAACGGGGTGCAGACAAATCAGACTCCACAGGCAGGAGCATGTAGGAGGCAGCACCCATCCACTAAGGGGACTATGTGGGGAGGGAAGGGCCTAGCATCATTAACTTCTGTACGGATCCAGCAGTGTGGGCTGTCTTCCAGGCAGGGAGAGAAGCCAACTCCCTGAACAAGAGCAGCAGCTGGGATCTGGTGAACACGAGCAGCACCTGCCTAGATGGGAGGCCGAGTGCCATGGGCTCTCCTGTTAGCTCCTGGTGGGAGGGGACATTACCTGGAGGTGGGAGTCTTGTGTTCTCTAAGAGCCTGAATTTCTTTGGAGGATCATGTGCTCCCCAGGGGTCTGGATTGCTCTGGGTGAGCTAATCTCTGATGGATGGGATCGGGGGGGGGGTATCAGTTTACCCTGGGGAATCAGGGTGTGGGGTGCACTGTAATCCTTTGAGCAGGTCAGCTGTTCTCTCTGTTCTGGGGAGGAGGAAGAGTCATTCTGTGATATGAGCTCCTGAGGGAAGTTGTTCTGTAATCCCCAGAGCATGGGGTGGGTTGTACGTGTGGGGCTGGTGGGGCTGGATGTTGTCACCTTGTGTTCTGTGATCTCCTGGGAGGTGGGAGGGCTGAGTCACCCTGTGAGCCCTGCAGGGGGGATGTGTGATTGGGGGGGTCACGCTGTGATCTCTGCTGTTGTCTCTTCATTGCTTTTGTTTGTTCTTCTTTTTTTAAATAAACTGTTCTGTTTGCCCAGCTGTCTGTGCTGTCAGCTCAGCTATGAGGGGCTCATGGGCATCTCCCCAGCTTGTGCAAGACCAGAGCTGGCAGCAGAGGGGATGTGTGCCCACCCGTTCCAAACTGTACTGATTGCCAGCAGCCCCCAGGGCCTGTCTGTCAGGGCCTAGGCACAGCCCCACCCTGCCAGTAGGGGCTGGAGGGGAAGGGGTGTCTGCATTGTGGCAGTTATTCACTGAGTGGCCGGAGGGCCAGGGCTGTCAAAAACCCTTGTATTTATCCCTGTGTCCAGCAGCTTCCACACACCCCTGCCATGGCAAACTCCTTTGTTGCATTATCTCTGGAGGTGGGATGATGGATGTTGGAGCTGGAGGTTCGATGTGAGGAACTTGCCTTGCAACAGTCCTGTGTTCTAAAGCTGTGGGGGCACCCCTTGCCTTTGCTTTAGGCATCACATTACCAGGACACTGACAGACAGGAACTGTGGTGGGCATTGTCCTTGACTTTGTAATCATCTCCCTCCTAGTGCTGTCACGCCATCCCTGCATCTCCAAACTCGGTTTGGCTGCACTCTGAGAAAAACAAGATTATGGCGCAATTCTCAGGCAGCAGAACTGAGCTTTCTGGCCGGGCTGGGCAGTCAGTACATTCCTGGGCTTGTAGCCAGCATGGCATAGAATAACCTTTCCCCTTGCCGCAGGGCCTGCGGAGCCCCTGCTATGAGGGCCGCCTCCTCTTTAGCATTCGGCAACCTAGCATTCTGGCTGCTCTGCACCACCTGATCAGTTTAGACTGAGGGCCAGAGCGTTGGCTGTAGCTAAGATTCACCTCTGCAATTCTCAACCCTGGGGCCTGCAGGCGGCTCTAGCTTATTCTGGATGCTAACACTCCCTAGGGGCAGAAACAGGCCAGCGTAGTAGCAGGGATCCTGGTCCCAGCCCACATTATCATGAAGGGGGGTTTGTTCTAACTGCTAAGTCAACTCCCACCCCCTCTGCTGACCTGATGGTCCTGTGGCTCCCTGGCCAGACTCTGCCAGCAGCAAGGCACAGAGCAGCCACCTCGTAGCCAGGTCTGGCCCACAGATGTCAAACCACTCAGGCCCAGCATGCACCTGCCGAGCCACACACATTACTGTTCATCATCATCATCATCACTTGGGTGTGTTGGAGCGAGTGGGGTCAGGGTGAGGTGGAGGAGTGCTCAGGAACATGGAAGCGGGGGGATATTGGGCCTGAGAGAGCATGTGGGGAGGGGTGTTGGGCATTTGAGGGAGTCAGGGTGCATGAAGAGGCGGTGCTGGATGTGTGGCACTGGGGCAGCTGGGTATGTAAGAAGGAGTGAGGGCAGGCCTGGGGAAAGACGATGGCAGGTCCATGGGAGAGGCAGGCATGTGGAAGTGAGGGGGTAGGTGCATGGAGCTGGGAGGTGATTGGGCACATGGAGGTGGGTTAGGTGTGTAGGGGAAAGAGGGATCGGGCACATGGAGGTAGGGGGTTGGGCATGTGAAGACTGGAGATCAGGCATGGGGTGAAGGAGAGGTGGGTGCATGGAGGTTGGGGGCTCAGGCGGGGGGGGTTGGGCATGTGGGGGGGTCACGCATGTGGAAGTGGAGGGTCAAGCCTGTAAAAGCAAGTGGGGTTGAGTGCTGAGTCCGGTTGGGTGCATGGAAGCAGAGGGGGTTTATGTATGTAGAGGTGGAAGGGTTGGGTGTGGAGGGGCTTTGAGCACATGGAGGTTGGGGGGGTTGGTTGTGGAGGGGGTTTGAGCACATGGAGGTGTGGTGGGGGGTTGAGCAGGTGGAGTGGTTGGGTGTGTGTGGAGGGGGTTTGAGCATGTGGAGGTGGAGTGGTTGGGTCTGTGTGTGGGGGGGTTGAGCATGTGGAGGTGGAGGGGTTGGGTCTATGTGTGGGGGGGCTGAGCACGTGGAGGCGGAGGGGTTGGGTGTGTGGAGGGGGTTTGAGCATGTGGAGGTGGAGGGGTTGGGTCTGTGTGTGGGGGGGTTGAGCATGTGGAGGTGGAGGGGTTGGGTCTGTGTGGGGGGGGTTGAGCATGTGGAGGTGGAGGGGTTGGGTCATGTGTGGGGGGGGGGCTGAGCACGTGGAGGCGGAGGGGTGGGTGTGTCCGGGGGGGGTTGAGCACGTGGAGGCGGAGGGGGGTGGGTGTGTCCGGGGGGGGGGTTGAGCACGTGGAGGCGGAGGGGTTGGGTGGGTGTGTCGGTGGGGGGGGTTGAGCACGTGGAGGCGGAGGGGTTGGGTGGGTGTGTGCGGGGGGGGTTGAGCACGTGGAGGCGGAGGGGTTGGGTGGGTGTGTGCGGGGGGGGGGTTGAGCACGTGGAGGCGGAGGGGTTGGGTGGGTGTGTCCGGGGGGGGGGTTGAGCACGTGGAGGCGGAGGGGTTGGGTGGGTGTGTCCGGGGGGGGTTGAGCACGTGGAGGCGGAGGGGTTGGGTGTGTCCGGGGGCGGTTGAGCACGTGGAGGCGGAGGGGTGGGTGTGTCCGGGGGGGGTTGAGCACGTGGAGGCGGAGGGGTTGGGTGTGTGTGGGGGGGGTTTGAGCACGTGGAGGTGGAGGGGTTGGGTGTGTGGGGGGGGGTTGAGCACGTGGAGGTGGAGGGGTTGGGTGTGTGTGGGGGGGTTTGAGCACGTGGAGGTGGAGGGGTTGGGTGTGTGTGGGGGGGTTTGAGCACGTGGAGGGGTTGGGTGTGGGGGGGTTGAGCACGTGGAGTTGGGAGGGTTGAGCATGTGGAGGTGGAGGGGTTGGGTGTGTGTGGGGGGTTTGAGCACGTGGAGGTGGAGGGGTTGGGTGTGTCCGGGGGGGGGTTTGAGCACGTGGAGGTGGAGGGGTTGGGCGTGGGGGGGGGGGGGTTTAGCACGTGGAGGTGGAGGGGTTGGGCGTGTGGGGGGGGGGGTTGAGCACGTGGAGGTGGAGGGGTTGGGTGTGTCCGGGGGGGTTGAGCACGTGGAGGCGGAGGGGTGGGTGTGTCGGGGGGGGTTTGAGCACGTGGAGGTGGAGGGGTTGGGTGTGTGTGGGGGGGTTTGAGCACGTGGAGGTGGAGGGGTTGGGTGGGTGTGGGGGGGTTTGAGCACGTGGAGGGGTTGGGTGTGGGGGGGGTTGAGCACGTGGAGTTGGCAGGGTTGAGCATGTGGAGGTGGAGGGGGTTGGGTGTGTGGGGGGGGGTTTGAGCATGTGGAGGCGGAGGGGTTGGGTGTGTGTGGGGGGGGGGTTTGAGCACGTGGAGGCGGAGGGGTTGGGTGTGTGTGTGTGGGGGTTGAGCACGTGGAGGCGGAGGGGTTGGGTGTGTGTGGGGGGGGGTTGAGCACGTGGAGGTGGAGGGGTTGGGCGTGTGTGGGGGGTTTGAGCACGTGGAGGTGGAGGGGTTGGGCGTGTGTGGGGGGGTTTGAGCACGTGGAGGTGGCGGGGTTGGGGTGGGGGGGGGTTTGACGTGGAGTTGGGGGGGTTGATCGTGTGGAGGTGGAGGGGTTGGGTGTGTGTGTGGGGGGGGGTTGAGCACGTGGAGGTGGAGGGGTTGGGGTGTGGGGGGGGGGGGTTTGAGCACGTGGAGGTGGAGGGGTTGGGTGTGTGTGGGGGGTTTGAGCACGTGGGGGGGGGGTGGGGTGGGGGGGTTGGGCCGTGGGTTGGCGGGTTGAGCAGTGGAGGTGGAGGGGGTTGGGGGTGTGGGGGGGGTTTGAGCACGTGGAGGTGGAGGGGTTGGGCGTGTGTGTGGGGGGTTTGAGCACGTGGAGGCGGAGGGGTTGGGCGTGTGTGGGGGGGTTTGAGCCCGTGGAGGCGGAGGGGTTGGGGTGTGTGGGGGGGGGAGCACGTGGAGGTGGAGGGGTTGGGTGTGTGTGGAGGGTTTGAGCACGTGGAGGTGGAGGGGTTGGGTGTGTCGGGGGGGGGGTTTGAGCACGTGGAGGTGGCGGGGTTGGGTGTGTGGGGGGGGTTTGAGCCCGGGGGGGGGGTTGAGTGGAGGTGGAGGGGTTGGGTGTGTGTGTGGGGGGGGTTTGAGCACGTGGAGGTGGAGGGGTTGGGTGTGTCCGGGGGGGGGTTTGAGCACGTGGAGGTGGAGGGGTTGGGCGTGTGCGGGGGGGTTGAGCACGTGGAGGTGGAGGGGTTGGGCGTGTGGGGGGGGGTTGAGCACGTGGAGGTGGAGGGGTTGGGCGTGTGTGTGTGGGGGTTGAGCACGTGGAGGTGGAGGGGTTGGGCGTGTGGGGGGGGGGTTGAGCACGTGGAGGTGGAGGGGTTGGGCGTGTGGGGGGGGTTTGAGCACGTGGAGGTGGAGGGGTTGGGCGTGTCTGGGGGGGTTTGAGCACGTGGAGGTGGCAGGGTTGAGCGTGTGGAGGTGGAGGGGGTTGGGTGTGTGCGGGGGGTTGGCACGTGGCAGTGGGGAAGGGCAGTCACATGGGGTGAGGGGGTTGGGCACATGGCAGTGTGTGTGGAGGTGTGGGAGGTGTCATGTGCTTCTTGTACCTGGTAGGTTGCAGGGCTGCTCCGAGCAGGTCAGGCTTTTGTCCCAGATATGGACTGGCTACAGCCTCCTTTAGAGAGACAGAGGGATGCCAGCGATGTGTCTTCCAAAAGACCCTTTAATGCTCTGCTGGCTAGCTCCGATCACTGTCACCTCGAGGCTGAACTGTATAATACAGGCTAATTCCATTCCCTCTCCTCCATTAAGTGTCACATTCCCACCATTTACAAAATGCACACTGTAATGCTTTCTTTAAATTTCAGTATGTATCAGTCTATTAAATGTCTGTGAATCATAGTGTTTTTTTCTAATTACATAACCCAAACGCATAACAACTTGGCCCTCTGGCTATCCATTAGTTGCACCGACTGTC